AGAAATCAGAAGATGTTACTGTAGTTCTAAAATAAATATGAATATGCATTAATTCATCTCGCTCACAAACCCACCCCCGATTCAGTATTCCTCAAAATGAATAAAAATAACGCAACTCAGAATATGACGCAAACCTGCAATAATTAAATGTTAAACAACACAAATCTGCTTTATGTATTTAATCCCATTCTATTTGCTTCTGACCTTCGATGATCCAGTTCAACCGTACTAATAAGCACAAATTACTCTAGACAAACATTTCTGTCTTTTTTTATTGCTTTTTACTTACTTTTAATAAGCGTGTTGAAATGTCTTCTTCTGCATTCTACTGTATGGACGTAAACTTACTTTTACGTAAGCCTGAGGCTTATTCATTTCACTTTTGGTGTGAAAAGACTTTTATATTTGCCAAAAATATAACTTTTTTTATTTTAAAAACAAACAAGCAAGCCCTGTCCAGATTTACAAAGTAACACCAAAGTAGCATAACGCATTACTTTCCACAAAAAGTAACTAAGTAACGTAATTAGTTACTTTTTATGGAGTAACGCAATATTGTAATGCATTACTTTTAAAAGTAACTTTCCCCAACACTGCTCAGACAGCAGGAAGGCGTGTTCTTTGATTTGTTGATGTGTGCTGCGTCCCGCTGTGAATCCGGGCTGACGTCAGGCGTGTTCTGAGCGTCATGTGATCTGTGTTCAGGCATGTGCGCTCTGGGGAACTACATCTATGTGATGGGTGGATACGACGGCACCCATCAGCTGAACACTGTGGAGCGGTACGACGTGGAGACGGATGGCTGGAGCCTCATCGCTTCCATGAGACACAGACGCAGCGCTCTGGGAGTGACGGCGCACCACGCACGCATTTACGTGCTCGGTACCAGCTGCATCTTACACTCAGAACGGAGCCTGTTTGTGGGATAATTGTAATCCCAGTTATGCATTATAATACATTTCTATTCATTGTTACACCTTTAGAAAGTATAAAACACATGACAAACAAACCCTCAAATATTATGATGCATTTTAACTTTGGTTACAGTTATTTATGGAAAGATATAATGCATTACAATGTACATCATCAGTATGTATACATAAACGCTTTAAGTCGAGTGTTACTGAAATGCTCATCCGTTGCTTATGAAAAGTTTGACTGATCCAGTGCTGATTATGAGACGTTGACTGGTTTGTGTGTCTGTAGGTGGGTATGATGGGAACACGTTCCTGGACAGTGTGGAGTGTTATGACCCGGAAACAGACGCATGGAGCGAAGTCAGCAACATGACGTCCGGCCGCAGCGGCGTCGGAGTGGCTGTGACCATGGAGCCGTGCCAAAAGGACCTGAGCCCGTGTCAGAATCACTAGAAACACACCTCCATCTGTGCTCATTACAGATCTCTCTCTCTCTCTCTCTTTCTTCCTCCCTCTCTCTTCCTCTCTCTCCCTCTCTCTCTTCCTCTCTCCCTCTCTCACTCTCACTCTTTCTCTCTCTTTCTATCTTCCTCCCTCCCTCCCT